GGCTCTGTCTTAAAAAAAAAAAAAAAAAAAAAATACATAAATAAATAAAAGTATGTTCAGACACATACACACAATTAAGGGCATCCATAGCTTGCAATGTTTTGCACTTAGTATACATCAGGTATTATTATTTGTATACATGTTTCTGAAATATGAACAGGTGGAATGAGGAGGGAATAAGAGCTCAGCTTACAGGTTCCTTTGCACAGTAAAAGCCATATGCATGCACACCTGTACCCAGAGATGGCCTCATTCAGACATGCACACACACATATTCCTCAGAAGAATCTGGTATTTCTGGAACTGGGCTATTTCAGAAGCAGAGAGAGCACACATGTTTTTGCTGTGTTGCGTGCAGTGTGCAGTGTACATCTTTGCATGTGCTTGGAGTTGTATACATGTGCTACATCAGCCTTTGTGGAATCATGACTCAGGGCTGGGTGGAGCCCTACAGATCAATTAGGACAACCTGCTTGTGGGATTGCTTGACTGTCCTGTTGGATCTGACTTTTGTAAGTCCTTGAGGGATGTCAGCTTCTGCTTAATACGGATATTCTGGATAATTAAGAGGTACCAATCATGCATAGGCTGTGGACCACAAACTCTTAACATACTGGCAAATAAGCATGTGATATAGACAGCACATATCAAACCAAATTTTTTGTATCCTTAAAATTGGTGCTTAGCCTGGACAACATATGGAGACCTCATATCTGCTGGGAAAAAAAAAAAAAAAAAAAAAAAGGTTGAGTATGGTGGTGCATGCCTGTGGGTCTACTTGGGAGACCGAGGCAGGAGAGGATATCTTGAGCCCAGGAGTTTGAGGCTGCAGTGAGCCATGATTGCACTGCTGCACTCCAGCCCGGGTGACAGAGGGAGATCCTGTCTCAAACAAACAAACAAAAACAATTGGTGCTTAGTGTATACTGATTGTATGCACAATTATCATGTACTTGGTCATTCTTAGAAAGGATGACACCCCCCCCATCCCACTGACCCGTGTGCTGGTCCTTGTAGGTGCCACGGCTAAGGCAGGGAACAGGACATCCTTGGTCTCTGCCCTCTTCCTGCTTCCCTTCTGATAAGTACACAGGGTGTACATAGCTCCTCTTGGGTCTGTTGTGCACGTGCAGACTGAGGGGCCTGAGAGTCTGCTGGGTAGATTCATTGCAGGGTCCAGGATTCCTTTTTGCTCTTTCCAGAATGGATAGTGTGTGAGTTGTCATTACACACAACTTTTTTTGAGTTCTCTCCTCACTAGTGTGACCCCATGTGCCTTTGTATGCAAACTGCATGGGTGTTTCTTATGTTCAGTTTTGTTATGTGCCTTTGCCTTCTGTGGGTCACCAGAACCTGCTCATGGGCATCTCTTGTGTTCACACTAGCTAAGTGTATTAGGTTGGTGTGCCTGTTTTGTAGGCACGGGGGATAGGGTACTTCCTGCATTCATTTGTGTTGTGCACACATATATGGGTCCTGGGGAGGCTGCTTGGTAGGTGGCTATGGGGTAGTTCCATGTCCATTATGCTCATGCCCTGTAGGCCCATGTGCCTAGTTTGTGTGCAGGCGGATTTGGCATTTCCTGTTTTTATTTGTGTTGTGAACACACAATGTGGATCCCAGGAGCCTGCTCTGTATGGGAGTATTGTCGTCCCATGTCCATTATGCACTTGCTGTATAAGACCCACACCTACTTTGTACGGACACAGGGTAGTATTCCATGCATTTATTTGTGTTTTGCTCACAGTGTGGGTCCCAGGAGGCTGCTCCATACAGGGAGCAGTAGGTAGTTCCGTGTCTATTATGCACATGCTGCACAGGTCCTGGGTACTTACTTTGTACGCCCACGGGGTAGGTGTTTTCTATATTTATTTATGTTACACATCTCCAGTGTAGGTCTCGGGAGCATTCTCCATACATGTGGGCAGTTGGTGATTCTCGTGTTTCGCTCACAGACACGAGGGTCCCGTGTGCCCACTCTACACACGGGGCAGCCTTGCTGATAACAAAGCGAAGGGCGGCTGCAGCTGCTAAGCCAAGACTGCGCAGCGAGTGCCTGCGTCCTCCTCCTCCTCCCTTTCCCTCCCTGCCTTCCCCCTCCTTTTCCCTCCCTCACAGGTCTGGGTACCACTTGTAACCCCATTCTCCTCTCTGCACCACTATGCCCCTGCCAACAGGGGGCGGGAGCCATGCACCCTCCCAGGACCCTGTTCCCACTTTCCCCTAGTTGCAGCCTCTTCACCCTTGGCCTTCCTTTCCTTCTTCCCTGTCCCCAAGCCATAATGTGCCTGGCACAGGGGAGGTTCTCGATGACCAGGCACTGCCTCATCTGTTTCCTCCCTTCCCCTCCCTCCCCTTCTCCTCTCCTTTCTGCTATTCTTCTCTCCCCTATGTGCCTTTTCCCCCTTGATGCTTCCCTGGACCCTCTTGTCACCTTCTCACTTTCTGCTGTCACCCCAGACTGCCCCTTCCTCCTTTACCTGGGCTCGGTCTCTTTGCCCCCTGTCCCCAACCTCGTCTACCGGATCTCATTCTCTATATCTGACTCTCCATTTGTCTCTTCATGTCTCTGTCTCACAACTCTCTGTGGATCTCTGTCCAACAGAAAGCCTCTTTCAGTGTCTGTCTCCATCTCATTGTCTCTCTGTGTGTCTCCTGAGGTTTCTCTGTTCCTGTCACATTCTTGCAGTCTCTGTCCATGTCTCCACATTTCTGTCTCACTTTGACTCTCTGGGTCTCTGTCTTTCCTTTCTTTCTCTCACCATCTCTACATTTCTTTTAGTCTCTTTTTATGTCTTGATCTCTGTGTCTCTCTGCACATTTCTTTCTGTCTCTGTTTCTTAGGTTCTCTCTCAGAATCCCTATGTATATATCTCTGTGTTTCTGTCTACATCTACTTGTTTGACTCTATTTCTTTGACACTCTCTGTTTGCCTTTTTCTCTGTCTCAGTCTCAGTCTCTGTATCTTTTTGGTCTCTGTCAGCGTCTGTCTTTCTGGCTTTGCATCTCTGTTTTTCTGTCTCTCTTTCTCTGTCTCTTTCAATGGCTCCTTCTTAATCTCTGTTTCTGCAGGTCTATCTCTCTTACCCCTGTATGTGTCTGCCTCTGTCTCTATGTCTTCCTGTCTCTGTATCTCTGCAACACTGCCTTGCACCTTCATCTGTCTCTCTTTGCATATAGCTTTCTCTTATCTCTGATTTGTGCATAGCTATCTCTCTTATTTCTGTGTCTCTCTCTTTGTGAATTAGTCTCTTTCTCTCCCCATATGTATATATTTTTCACTGTCTCCCTGTATCTATGTGTCTACTTTTCTGTGGCTCTCTTTCTGACTCTGCATCTCTCTGCATGGACCTTTCTCCCTATCTCTTTGTCCCTGGGTGTCTCTGTGGTTCTTGGTGCCCGTTTGTGTCCCCATCTGCTCACCCCTCTCACCTCTTCTCCTCTCTGTCCCTGTGTCTCAATGTTTCTGTGTGTCTCTGGACATTTCTCTGACTCTCTGAGTCTCTCTGCCTCCATGTCCCCTATACTTCCTGCCCTCTCCATTCTCCTTTTCCTCTTTGTCTCTGGGTGTCTCTTTGAGTCTCTGGCTTTTAGGGCCTCTCCCTGCCTTTGAGTTCCCTGTGCTCCCCACCCTTCTCTGTCTCTTTCTGTCTGTGTGTTCCTGTGTCTATTTGTTTCTAAGTGCCTCTATGTCTCTCTGTGTCTCTGAGCATCTCTCTGTCTCTATGAGTCTTTCTCTGCCTCTGCATCTTCTGTGCTCCCTGCCCTGTCTCTCTCTCTTTTCTCTCTGTCTCTGGGTGTCTCTGTGTCTCTGAGTATCTCTGGGTGTCTGTGTGTCTCTGGGCCTCAGGGTCTCCCCCTACCTTTGTATCCCTCTTTGCTCCCTGCCCCTCTCCATTTCCCCCGTCTCTTACTGTGTGTTCGTGTGTCTCTGTGTCTCCAACTATCTCTGTGGGTCTCTGTGGCTCTCAAGGATTCTCCTTGTCTCGGTGTCCTCTTCTAGTCCTGCCCCTCTATGTCTGTGTCTCTGTTTCTCCGTATCTCTGCATCTCTCTATCTCTGTGTCTCTCTGTGTCTCTTTGGGTCTTGGGCCTCTCCCTGCCTCCGTGTCCCCTGCGCTGCCCGCCCTCTCCCTCTTCCTCTCTCCCCCCTCGCTCTCACACTCGCGCTCTCTCTCTGAGCATCCTTGGGCCCGGGGTTGCCATGGGGACAAGGTGGGAGCCGGGGATGGCGCGCGCCTGGGCTCGCGCCGGCAGCTCAGGCGAGGAGCAGCGGCCAGAGCAGCGCCAGCAGCAGGCAGCGAGCGGGCGCGGGAGCGGGAGCGGGAGCGGGGGTAGCGTTGGCGGCGGCGGCTCCTCCTCGGCCATCCCCTCGGAGCCGTGCAGCTGACGCGCATGGCGAAGACAGCGGCGCCTACCGATGGGAGCAGCGGTAAGGCAAGGCGGCGCGGCGCAGCCGGGCGGGCGGGCGGCGGGCAGCCTCCTCCTCTCCCCAGCTCGCCTGCGCGCCCGCCCGCCTGCCCTCCCTTCTTCCCTCTCCCCTCGCAGCCCCTGCCCGCCCGCCCGCCCGCGCCGCGCTCGCCCTTCCATTTAAAAATCTTTAAAACTTTGCATATTAATATCTGCGCTTTGCATAATCTGACCCGCGCTTTATTGATTGCAAGAAGCTTAATGCAGCCGGCTCGGCCTATTGCAGAGAGCTCTCCGGGCGGGAGCCGGGCGGGCGCCGCTCGCTCCGCACCGCACTCCGGCTGCCTGCCGTCGCCGCGGCCCCGGCCCTCTCGCCTCCCTCTTGGCGCCCGGCGCCGGGGCTTTGCCCCCTGGCTGGGTATTTTTATTATTTGGGGATGGGGGGGGTCAGTTTGCTCTCGGTGGCAGTGAGGGAACCAAAGGAGAGGTGTACATGGGGGTGGGGGGGAGGGATGGGAAGAAATGGGGACGGAGAGGAGGTGAAGAGGCAGAGGAAAAGGGAGAAGGGGCAAGAAGGTTGGGGAAAGGAGAGGCGTGGAGGGGAGGCAGTATAGAGGAGAGGCAGTCGGCTGAGGACGGAGCTGAGAGGACGGAGCTGAAAGGACGGAGGAGCGGAGGAGCGGGAGCCGTGGTGGAGGAGAAAGGAGGGAGGCAGGAGCGCACACTAGAGAAAGAGCCTGACGGCCGCGGAGCTGGGAAAGGAGGCAGGCAGTGGGCGCTTCGCTGCTGCTGCCCCCAGGCCAAAAAATAAAGAAAAGAAAAAGAAAAAAAAAAAAAACAATGCCAATAAAAAGACGATGAAATAAAACACATCGCATCCGGGGCCACTGAACACAAAAAGGAGCGTGGACAGAGAAGAGAGGCGAGGTGGTATCTGCTCCCGGCTGGCTGCGGCGCTTCGGAGAGGCTTCCCGGGCTGGGCGGGACCCCCATTTTGACCCTGCATTTGAGGAAGGGGCGACTGTGGAGAAAATGAGGCGAGAGGGGGTCAGGGCTGGTGGCGGTTCCGCCTGTTTTTTTTTTTTTTTTTTCTCTCTCTCTCCTTTTCTGGGGGTGTGGGGGCCGGTTTAGTGTGATGATGGTGAGGATATTGGTCGGTGATGCTGCCTGAAGCTCCGAAGCAAGCAGGGTGCATAGGGGGGAGAGGTAAGGGGGCACAGGGAACGAGAAAGGGCTGGGGGGTGGGAATGCAGGGTGAGAGAAAGGAACGGGGTGCCTTGGACAGCAGAAAAGGTGAGAAATAGAAAAAAGCAGCCGGGATGGGGCACCCAGAGGCGGTGGCATCTCAGGCAGGAGGAGAGGTGGAAAACAGAGCTCCAGGGCCCCAGAGTGATGTTGGGGAGCCGCGGTGCACCCCTCAGCTCTCTGGACAAAGTCTGTAACTTGGGGAACCCCTTTGATTGCCTGCTGCCTCTTTGCTCTCTTTTCATTCCCTTTTCATGTCCTTTCTCGGCTCCTTTATTTCCATCTCCTTTACTGGCTTTTCTTTCTTCCTGTTTTCCAGTTTCTCTCTCTCTTCCTCCTCTCAATAAAAGCTCTTTCTCTTTCTCCCTACCCCTTAGTTTTTCTTTTTCTATCTCCCTTATCTCTACCTCCTTCCCTTCTTTTTTCTCCTTTTTTTCCCTCCCCTCTTTCCCCCTTTCTTTTATTCTTCCTTTTCCTGCCACTCATTTCCCCTGTTGCCGGCCCTTTCTACCCCCTCCCTCAGTTTCATTTATTCATCACTCTTGCTGCTCTGGCCTTGAACAAGGTGCCATGGAAAGGGACTCCATGCAAAGGCAGGAATCCCCAACTTCGTACAGGAGCCTAACCTCTGTTCTGAAACCCCATGAATTCCTACCCTCTCTTTTCCCCTGGGTGGGGGCTTGGGTCTTTCCCCCAGGGTTCTAGCGCCACCCCTTACTTCCTTGAGGCCTCCTGGAGAAGTCCTGCTGGATGCAAACTCGGGCTTTGGGAGGGGGAAGGGAAGATCTTAAGCGAGGGCTCATGGCTGTGGACTCAGCCCCACTGAGAAGGGTGTGGACAGAAAAGAAAATGACATGGATTCCTAGTGGGAAGTGAAAAGGGGAGGAAATTGGGGTGGAGGTCCATCTAAGAGAGTCCTTAGAGCTTTTGAGTCCAGGTAAAAGATCCTGAGAGAAATCCTTTGGCCTGATGACCACTCCCCACATTTTGCCTCCTTCCTGGGGCCTGTGGAGTTGGGGAGTAGGTCCTGGATTTAGAGAAAGACCTAATCAGCCGCTTCACTTGGTAGCTTCTAGTCTCTTGCCATCTTGTCAGGTGGATTTGTTCCTCCACCCCCCAGGATGTTAGTGGAAGGTACAGAGTTAGTGCGCAGTAGAGGGCTGGTGTGTACAGAGTCAGACCATGGCGGCAGCGTGAATGTGTACAAGGCCTGCATGCATGGCGAGATGTGTTCAGGAAGGACTATGTGTGTTGGGCCTAGAAGCCTTGGCAGAGTGAGGAGCCAAAGGTGTAGAATCATGACATGCATTTTCAGTGTGGGGTCGGATACTGGGGGTCCCCATTATGGGTGACATATGTGCATGAGGGAGTCAGTGCGTATTTGTACTGATCTCTCCCTTGTCTTGATGTTTTTGTACCATCGATATGTGTGCACTCAGGAGGCCCTCTTTGGGTCTGTGCGTGGAAGCCATCCACGCGTGTGCAGATGCATGTGCCGAGTGTGGCTTCAGCAGTGGACACGTGACACTTTGTATGTGCAGCATGTTTGGAGTAGAGGCTCTCTGTGTGGGTACCAGGTCTGAACGTAGTGTGCACATTAAAGAAAGTCACATATGTGAAAATATCATTTCTGCATGGAGATATTGTTATTGCTTGGGGTCTCTGCGTGTCCTGGGTAAGAGGGAGGGTGGGTTTGTGAAGCAGGGCCTGGGTGGAGTGATGAGACGTGTGTGAGTGCACAGAGGTCGCGGGTGTATGACTGAGTTTGACAGCATGCTTGTACAGCAACCTTGAAGCTGGGTTCAAGAAAACAAAACAAGAAAAAATCCTCTCTCCCCATAATCTACCAGCCCATGGAAACCTTCCCTGGACCTTCTGTAGTAACAAAGCTTCCCATGTCAGGGGGTGACAGGCAGGCCAGGAGTAAAGCCGATCAGGGCCACACGCGGCATCTCCAGTTGCTGATAATGCAATTCCACATCTACTTCCTGATTTATGGGTAATGCTGGACAGAGGCCCATCTTTGTCTTTGGAGAGATCCAGACCCCCATTTTCCTGAGGCTGCTGGTGAACCCTGTGGCAGATTGCAATGTCATCTTTGGGGATCGTGGTTGCCCTCACTTCCCTCTGCCATTCTTTGCAGGGAAAATGGAAGGTGTCTGTGTCAGGGCCGTGGTCGGGAAAGAACTCAGCCACATGCTGTACACACACATGCCTGTACCCATGCTGTGTGTGTATTAGAGGTTGTTAGCCTATACATCCTAGACAGCATGCCAGCCAGGTTTTTTTTTCCCAGCAAGTCCATCAGTGGCCACTCCAGCCATTCTGGTTCATATACACTCCCTTCTTGTATGCAGGGCCCATAGCCCAGAACTTCTTCCCACCAATGTGACAGCCAAGCAAGGGGCCCAACCTTAGCACCCCATTAGGTAGAGCTTTTCATAGCCCTGGTGCATAATCATAATGTGTAGAGGCATGACTTACAATGAGGGGAGTGGGGGCAGATGGCCATACCAGGGGCTACTTGGACATTGATGGGGGCAAGGGAGAAGTTTTCATCTCTGGCATGTGCTGGTAAATTTTTAAGATATTTCAGGATAGAAATGGTTGAGAAACCCAAGTATGAAGAATTGTTAGAAGACAGAGTGGGTGTGAGGTCTCCTCAGACTGTTATCTGTTCCTCCTTATGAATATATGTCACTTGTTTTTCCCTTGGGCTCGATACCTCCTGCTCTAATAATAATAATGGCAATGATGTGCCTTACACCCACCTCACTCTTACAGCAGCCCCGATGGTGCCCCTTTCACAGATGAGGATTCTGAGGCCCACATTATTTGCTCAGCCCATCAGCAACCATGCTGACACTAGAACCAAGGTCCTCCTCATACCGACCTTTGTCTGTCCTTATTGGTCTGCCCTCTCCTATTAGCTGTCCCAGTGCCATTTCCTTTCACTGGCTCTGCCTCTTCCCCCACTTCCTCCCTGTCCCCTGAGATGTCCATCCATGGACCTGTCTCCCAGGACCTGTTGGGTGGATGGATGCCTTATGTGGCTCAGTGAGGGCTTTAAGGACCTGGGTCTCACTTTATATCCCGAAGGGAGTTCCAGCAAATGAGCATGGTAAAGCTTGTTCTGTCAGTGATGGTTTGGGGCTAGGCCTGTTCAAAGACAGGGGTTTGCATGAGCTTATGGTCTCCCCTACGCCTTCTGGTAAGCCCTGTGTCACCTTTTCAAATCTACATGATGGTCTCGGGAAGCAGATGCACTTTCTCTCACTCAATCACCACCCCATTTTCAATAGATCCCCGGGCAGGCAGCTTTCTCAGGTCTGACACATTCGAAAGGAGGCTGAAGGTAGTGGCTGCACATACAAGGTCCCTGCACTCAATAGGTATTTATTAGGTAGTGTGAATCACTTATCAAATAAAGTCCAAGAGTTCCCTGAGGTAATTGGGCAATGGTGGTATGATCACTCCTTACTTGGAAATGATTGCTAGGCACTGACCATGGGCCGACACAGACCTGGACTCTGAAACAGAACCAACCCCAGCCTTAGACAGGTGAGCACAAAGGGAGTTTCCAGGTCATTAGGAATCTGGGGAATGAGGATGGCGTGGGTTTAGACAGAGAAGTAGGTCTTTGAGGATGCTCAGGCATTGAGAAAAGTGGGGTGGTGGGAGAGCATAAATATGGCCGAGGGAAGTGGGGAGGAAGCAGCCCAGGCTGGAGATGAAGCTCTAAGAGTAGAGGTTGGCACAGTGTTGCAAATCCCTGTCTGTGGAGGCTCAGCTGCTGCTCTGAGAAGTTTGAACTTGATCTGGCTGGCAGCGGGGAGCTATCATGCCTGTAATCACACACACATACACATGTACACATGCATCTTGTGACAATGTGCTTTGGACAATACGGACTTGTATGTGAGCATGAGTGTGCTCGTGCCACACACACAAGGCCCTTTATTCTGGTATTCATTCAGGGTCTCCCTCACAGAAACCAACAAGGTGGCAGGGCGGGCTACGTTAGTCCTCACTCTCAGGATCCTATAATGTACAGGGCTGTGGCCCACACATGCAAGGATAAGAGCAGGCTGGGGACCCTCCCCCACCTGGGGTGCAGACTCATGTGGCATTCACAGACTTAATCCGCTGCAGTGAGGGCAGGGAGGCAGCATCTGTCACTTTCACAAACACAAGCAGCGGAGTCTGAGAGAGCCACATTCCACTTGCTCACAACTGCTTGAGAAACAGACGCCTGTACTGCACTGCCCCCCCTGCCCAAAACAGAGACGGCCCCTTATGGCCCCCCAAACCAAGCCCAGGCCAATACACCAAGTCACTCCTACATTAAAGTGCACACACACACACACACACACACACACGAAGCACAGCCCCTGACATTCTGTCTCCCTATAAGCACAACGATGTACTCAGGCACTCTGACTTTAAGCACAGCTACTGACTTCCCAACCCTTTATTCACACACAGATACACACTCATTTTGACTTAAAGCACAGCTGTAGCCATCCCACCACCCATACACATATACCTACAAGCGGACTTCCACACATACTCAAACACACAGCCTCACAATCCACCAGAACCACTGTGGCCAGCGGTCATTGAAGAATGACAGCCTGAGCAGTGTGCTGAGGGGAGGGTCGCCCTGAGGCATGGGCCGAGGGTCATAGAACAGGGTACATTAGAATCCCTTGAGGAAAAGGTCAGGCCGACCCCAAAAGGGTTCCATTGGTCCGGACGGTTCTGCCAGGTAAGGGAGATTCAACAAATGCAGGCCAGAGGCAGGAGTCGGCTAATGGCCGAGGCTGCCAATGGCCGAGATGGCTGGTCAGCGAGGAAGGGAGGCTCGACAATTGATGTGACTCAGAGCTGGACAAATGATGGCGCATTTGGCTGAAGCTGGCTGGGGGGCCCAAGACTAGAGACCAGGCAGCCATTCTCAC